CCTTGAAAAAACTCTTTGCTGGAAAAGTCAGGCACTTAACACAAGTTTCATCGACTTCATCAGCTACGCCATTTATGGGTTGTTCAAAGCTGTTGCCAGCAAGATCATTCCGCAACCGTTGCTGCTGGCCACAGTGACGATGCGTGAATTCGAACACAACAACATCCATCATCGGATCCCAAGTGCGCTATATAAGTACTAATGTTCAGAATTGGGGCGGATGAACCCAACTGATCATTCAAAAACCCAACAACATCGTTGGTAAAAAGCAGCTGCCAATGGTTATTCAATTTGTAGACCGGATAATCATTCCGAAAACCCAGCGGCACGTTGATAAAAACAAAAGGTGTGTTCGCTCTCGGACAGACGTGTTCAGAGGGCAGCATCATTCCACAAACCCAACAACAACGTTGGTAGAAGTGGAGCACATTCGTGATTCCGCTTCCCTACAATAACGGCTTAGAACGCTCTAAGATGCGAAAATACATCTTGAGTATAAACAACCACCGACTTTGAAAGTCATTTTAAGACTTCGCCAATAAAGCGAGTACCATTACTCTTAAAAGTTCTTGTGATCTATCACAAAGCATCCTGCACTCGTCACGATACAAGGATCATAAAATAAGAAAGTCAGTCAGTCGTTGACCTCCTTATCGCTCTCTTCATCGCCCACCTCGTTGCCCTCGTCATCGGCAGTGACTACTTCAACTTGGTGCTAGAAGCATCAGAGAACTCATAAATCTCTAATATTGTCTTTACGCTGGCAACGAGATCTGCAAACACATTGCGCGCATCGTAAATCGGGGCCTGCCGCTGATATATTTCCTTGACCTCGTCCTCTAGAACCGGCGGCTCTGGTTTCTGAAGAAACTAGATGAACTCCAGATTCGCATCAATCTCAGCAAGGTCCAGCATGTTGGCCTTGGTTTTCCCATCGATGTGTGCAAGTAGCTTAGCAACCTCGCTGACTCGTCCTGCAAAGCTGCGAGACATCTCGTCCCTTTTTCTAGTAACGACTTCATCAACTCTAACATCCTGGAGATTGTTGGCAGAGCTTGAGAGAGCATCATTCTCAAGAACCATGTTCTTTTCAACAAGATTGTTGGCAGAGCTTGAAGGGCGATGTTAGCCTCTCTGTTACCAACATCCTCATGATGAGACCTCGGGTCTTCGTCATCACCGAGCCTCCTCGGGTCTTCATCACCAACAAGAGTCTTTAGGTCATTGGCAACGAGGTCCCCCGGGTCTTTGGAGACATCGGCATTGATGCCGGCATCTGTCGAGCCATCGGCTCCAAGCAAACAATGCCTCGGGGGAACGACGACATCGTGACATGGAGTCTTCGAGGCCAAGTCCTCGATGGACTTGTCAGCTCTTCATCACCTTCACGGGCTTCGGTGGTGTCGTCATCTTAGACAGCGCGATGATCCTCGGTGCGCTCGCGTGAAAACATCGGAGCATTGGTTTGAGTTACCAAAATCATCGGGTCCGAGCTATTAGCCGTCTAAACATAAAGACATGCAAAATCTTGTACGAAGCGAGAAGTCTTAAAATCTTCATAAGGACATGGAGTCTTAAAATCTCCTAACATGAAGAATCGTCCTCCATTACAGTAACAACGAGTTCAGCAATCAAAGCGCTGCGTTTGCAGAATAAACGCATCTTAACGGTCTGAGCCAACAGCATCAAGTTAACAGTAACATTATAACTTTGAACAGCAACATCGACATTTAATAGTCTTTAAACTCGATACTATTATCAACACTACCGAGCTGGGGGGCTAGCTGTT